GACGTGGAGAACTGGGAGCCCCGGGGGACAGGACTGGTGGTACTGGGGAATCGGGACTGGGAGAACTGGGAGCCCCGGGGGACAGGACTGGTGGTACTGGGGAAAAAGGACTGGGAGAACTGGGAGCCCTGGGGGACAGGACTGGTGGTACTGGGGAATCGGGACTGGGAGAACTGGGAGCCCCGGGGGACAGGACTGGTGGTACTGGGGAATCAGGACTTGGAGAACTGGGAGCCCCGGGGGACAGGACTGGTGGTACCGGAGAATCGGAACTGGGGGGAGCACCAGGGCAGGACTGGGAGTACTGGGTGGGCAGGACTAGAGTAGGACTGGGGGTGTGGGGAGGCAGGACTGGGAACAGACTGGGAGGACTGGTGTGTCCGGCTGGGGAGCGCAAACGGCGGCGTTTAGACGAGGGGTGTCAGGGTTGGGGGGCTGAGGGAGGGACGGGGTGCGGTGGGGGCCAGGGGGGCTGGGGCCAGGAGGGAGCGGGGGATCGGAGGAGGAGGAGGAGGAGGCCCCTTCCTGAAATCTCCCAACAAATTTCCTTGCAAACCAGCGCCCGAGTACGAGACTTAACCTTGTCCCGGGACTTTCCTCTGCCCGAGGAGCTGTGGCGTTCCGGTGGACTTTGTCCCTTGGAGGTGACATCTGTGCCGACAGCCCCGGGCCCGGGCTCCCCTGGGGTTCGGAGCGTTCCCTGGGGGAGGCCGAGGTCCCACCGGCCGGGCGGCTGCGTTGTGTGGGCGTCAGTGCCGCGGTGCCCTGGGCTCTCTCTGCCCAGAAGCCACTGGAGAAGCTGCAGAGTGACTTTGGCGCCCTGTGGCTGGCGTACCGCAGCTTCCCCATAGGTTTGATTGAACTGGTGCCATGCAGGGGGGGAGGGTGCCCTTCCGCCCGCCTCACCGCTCTTTTTCTTTGCAGTGTTAAAGAAACGCCTCGTGAAGCTCGTCGTCAATTTTCTCTTCTACTTCCGGACAGACGAAGCGGAGGTACGGAATCTGCTTTTTTGTTGGTTTGTTTTCCTCCCTCTCTCTTCTTTTTCTGTGAATCAATTGTGCTTTGTAAAATGGTACGGTACCGGGCTGCCAGAGCCAGGACAGAGCGCCCACATTTCCTCTTCCATCTACTCGGCAAAAACTCCCCGAGGTGAGGAGCAGCACTGCCGTGTAACCGCACCCAGGTGCTTGTCCTGTGAGCTTGGACCAAATCTTTGAAACATAACCATTGCCCCAAAACTGCAAAAGGTGGAGCCTGTAATGTCGGCTTGTAGGCCTCTGCCTTACCGTGCCAAACCATGAGGGGAAGCTTATCTTTTGCTCTCCTGGGAGAAGAATTAGCGTTGTTTCTTCCTTTTTTTATGCCAGGAACTTTACTGGTGTACAGTGCTCACTGGTACTGGGAAACTTTTGTGGCCGTACCCTGTCAGTGTTGTTATTTTGGGCGTGCAGAATCCCTGCTTGGGTCTAGGAAAAAAGAAATGAGGGATGGGACCTTTGGGCTCTGCTTCTGGCTTTGCCACTGCTGAGATCTGGTGCTTTTTAATGAATCCCTCAATAACTGTTGCTAAAGATTCTCTTCTTGGAAGATGAATATAAAAGCAATCTTAATGTGTGTGAAGAAAGGCGCTGTGTGCGTGCTGGTGCTGCAAACAAAGGTGCTGGGAAGCTTTTAGTGGCATTTTTAGACTCATTCCATCATAAATATTTTACCCTGATGATGGCTGAGCTCCGATTTTCAGAAACACCCGTTCCTCCTTTCTGCCGAAGCGCAGTCCCTGATCTCTGGGTAGAGCCAAGACGCTGAGCAGTCGCTCCGGCCCGGGTCTGTGCAAAGACTCGGCTGCGGCTCCTGCGCCGGCGTAGGACGAGGCTCCGAGGACACGGCACCGTTTCCTTCGCTGCCACCCAGTGCTGCTCTGCTCTCTTCTCTTCTGGTGGTTATTTGTGTGTGTTCTGACGGTGGGGAGAGGATGTTCTTGAATGGATCAAAAATAGCTCAGCAGGCAGGTGGAGGGTGCCAATGTAAAACCGTTGTCCGGAAATACATAATGAACCAGGTTTTTTCAGTATCTTCCCTGCTGCTTTATTTGCCTCCCGCATTTTGTTTAGCCTGGACAAAAGAATTCGCTTGCGGGTTGCTTTTGTTTATGGCTCGTATCGCCCGTTGGTTCTCACGTCCTTGCTCGGCGTGCGCTGGCTAGCAAATAGCACCGACCGTTCGTCTGTTTGTCCTGAGCTGTTCCAGTTCATCAATGCGCTGCTCTTAACCTCTTGCAAGGCTTGGGGCTGCCCTTACGAAGCACAGTGTGAGTCGTCCTGTGCATCACGGTAAATATTTCATCTTCATTTGATCTACTGAGCAAGGAAGTAAACTTCTTTGCTGTCTTCGCATCACAGAAACGGATGTTAAAGCGCAGACTGAACCTGAGCAAGTAGAAATGCTTAACACCTAATTAATGTATGCAAAGTGTTACAGGTGAGACAGGCGCAGCAAAGCGCGTCAGCAGACACAGAAAGGGCAATTAAAAGAAAGTGGAATGTTCACACAATTAGACTGAATTACTTTAAAAGTAGCACCAGGTTATGAAACTTGCCTAAACAGCAAACTCTGTGGGTTCAGAGTCACGCTGGTGGACAACATGGGTTAAACCCTCTCTCCGGGTCTTTTCCAGCCCATCGGAGCTCTGCTGCTGGAGCACTGCAGGATCACCAAGGAGGAGGAGAACGTCTTCTCAATCAGTGAGTTCTGTGTATGCGTTTCCTTGGCGTTTCCCTTACGGCAAATTGTGCTCCGTAAAAGGAAATGTCTTGCTGTTTAGTTCCTGCTTTCCCCTCTCTTTCTCTGGTAACGGTGGGGTTAGTGCTCCTCAGCCCTTCTCCTCCTCAGCTGCCTGGTGGCACTCTGGCATGGCCGTGCCCCGTCCCGAGGACAGCGCTATTTCACTGCTGGCTGACACGCTCGGTGTGATTTGCCCGGCTGCATGCGGGGAGAGAAGCAGTAACAACAGACAGACCACAGCTTAGAGCTTGTGGAAATCCCTCTCTAGGAGGGCTCGGTATTGACAGATTGCTGCTTCTGTGCCGTTGCGTTTTATCAAAAAAAAAAAGTGAGCTGCAGATAAATTATCTGTTGGGCTAACCTAGCACCAGTCCTCCCGCCACACTGTTTGTCCTTGTGTTGATAGCCATGGCTCCAGCTGGCGCGTGGTGCATCGTCCTTTGTAAGCAGCCTTTCATCCAACAACTAATCATTGTGCGAGAGGTATGTGGCGAAAATAACAGGATGTTTCTCCAAGGCCATCCCCGTATCTTTTGGCCTGGTTGTCGGGCCCAGCTGCTTTTCTCTGCAGAGCCTTGGCTCCTCTTTTAGCCGGGAGAGGTGGTGTTCTCGCTGTCTCCAAAGGACCCTCAAAGAGCCTGAACCTACCAATCTCTCTAAGCACCACGCTCCGAATTTCTGGGGCTTTAGGACTGTCTGGAGCTCTGGTGGATGAGGATTCCTGAGAAAAGTGTTAAAACCGATGGCAGTGTCAGGTTGTGTCCCCGCACAGCAGCCCCAGGGGGTTTGATGCAGTCTGACCCAGTTATTTCTCAGCAGCAGCCTAGATCTCTGTGGACTGTGTACTAAAGAGCAGAGCTCTGGGGACAATGTCATTAATTAGATGTCCTGATTCTGTCTTGGTAAAGAACTGGAGTTGCGTGGGGACTTGCTTTCCACTGTGCACAGTAGCAAAGCCTCGAGCAAAGACAGGTCAGTACCTTCTCCGAGTGTGATTTAATTCCTCAGATGGCTGCCCTCTGCATATATCAAAATCACTTCCTCGGGGCCATTTTCCACTTTGATTACTAAATCCCTGGTGACTGTTTGCAGGGAGGCTCAGGGACTTTCGGTCCCGAATCCGGCCATGTCGGTCCAGTTCAGTTCCAGGCTGTCGCTTTTCCTTTGGGAAGCTGCTCTTTCTGAAGTCATTGGCCACTATGAGCTGCCCAACGCTGCAGGCAGCTGCTCCAGGCCAGCCAGGAGCCACCCAGGGCAGGGGAGAGGGGGCAGAGGCCTGGGTTCCCAGCTTGTTCACAGATCATCTTCCTTGAACAGAGGCGCTCATTGTGGCCTGGCAGAGTCTGGCTGTTGCTGGGGAGGGAGAACAGTGGAGCGCAGGCAGCTCTGCCAGGACCTCCCTTAAACTTTTTCCTTATTCCTGGCAGGTTTCATTGAGGAGCCGGAGAGGAAATACTGCTTTGAATGCGACAGTGAGGAGCAGTGTCAGGAGTGGATCGAGGCGCTCAAGCGAGCCAGGTAGGCTGAGCCATGAGCGTGAGGTCTGCGCCGTGCACTCTGTGCTGTTTATTTTCTGGGGTCAGCTCGTGGTGAACCCAGGGAGGAAAGTGGTTGTCTCCTCCCAAGCAAGCTTCCCTTCAGCTTTAAATAGCATCTGAAACTTCTCCACATCCTTTTCTGCTCAGCCTGCCGCATGGTCTGTTCTTATCTTACAGCTATGAGTTCATGAGGAGGAGCTTGATTTTCTACCGGAATGAGATCCAGAAAATGACAGGGAAGGTGAGTCCCTTGAAGTCTTGTCAGGTGGTGACTGATGGGTTTGGACTGGTGATCTCAGGTGTTGCTGCCGACTGTCCTGCACGAGGCTGTTTGCTGCCACATGTACAAAACAGCTCCCGTAGTAAGCCAGTTCCTGAAGCCGTGCTCTCAACAGCCAGACCTGAGAGTCTTCCTCTGCTGAGTAGCCTGTGTGGTCGTGCTCAGCTCCAGCTCTCGTACACGCACACATGTGGTGGAGCAGCCTGAGGTTTGTAGCCGGAGGGGTCTGGCCTGGGCCAGCCTGGGCTCCCACCAGTTCTCTGGAAGAGTTCACAGGCAGCCCTGGCCAGGTCGGGGCGTACGTGGGTCGAGATGCTGCTCACACCCCTGCCAGGCTCCTCAGAGCATCCCTGCTCGAGGTGACGGAGATGGCTGCGGCTCACCCGCACACTCCTGTGCCCGAGGGGACCGAATGAACCTCGGTTACCTGCTGTGTTCTCCCCGAGGACTGCTTGACTTTCTGCACCAGAAACAGCAGCTGGGGGCTGGACTGGGGTAAATCCAGCACACGCCTGGAATCATGGCCCAGCCCAGCCCCAGACTGCAGCCTGGTTGAGGGACAGTCCTGCTGGCCTCCTCTCACTGGTGCCTTCCCTGTGCTCTGGCTGCAGGACCCCCTGGAGCAGTACGGGATCTCCGAGGAAGCCCGCTTCCAGCTGGGAACGCACAAGCAGTAACGCCCTCGCCTGGGCTGAGCTGGCTTCTGGCCGAGGGTCACCCCCAAGCCCCCACCAGGAAGAACAGCAGCAGTTCCCCACAGCGGTGACCAAGTGACTTTTTAATTTATTAGCCAAATAATTTTGTATGATTTTTTTTTTTTTTAAGGGAATTCATGGCACATTCCCACTTGCCCCAGCCGGGGAGGCAGCCAGCTTTAACTGCTCTCTGCAGCCTCTGCCCTCGAGCTGGCCAGCGGCTGCACTGACACCGCACCGCTGCGACTAAAACCACCCGGGCTCCTAGTGAGGAGGCAGGGATGGAACAGAGCCCCCGGCGCCTGCTGTCTCCAGCTCTAGCCTGGAGCTTCTGGACAGGCCCTGCACCAGCTCCAGCCCTCCTCTTCCTCCCTGTCCCTCTCCTGCAGGGAGCTACGCAGCTTTTCTGGCTCAGGCTCTTCCTGCAGTCTCTGGGAGCCATCAGCTGTTCATCCCCCTGCTGTAAGAGGATGCTCTGACTGATTGCACTTCTGTGCTTGCAGGATTAACCCTGTCATGCCCTCTCCATTGCAAAGCCATTGTGGTTGCTGGAGCCTGATGGCCAGGCTGTGGGGCAGGCAGGAGGGGGGAGGCTTCCATTAACACGGAGAGAGCTCAGCCACAGCTCCAGCTGCCGCTGCCAGGGCCGGGGCATCCTCTCCCTTGTGTCCAGACAGCAGTGTCTGTGCAGCCACTATCAGCTGCTTCTTGGGGTTGTTTTCTTCTTCTCCCTTCTCTGGGCAGGTGCTGCTGATTCCTAGAGGCTTGCTGCAGCCCCAGCCACAGCCCGTGGGAGTGCTCTCACAAATGCATTAGAGGGCAAAGCTGCAAAAAGCACAAGGGAGCGAAGAGAGGGCTGAGGGGTCTGTGTTGTGATCCTGCCTCCCTCTGGGGTGCTGTGGGCTGGGCTAAGCCGGGCAGTTACTCAGCTTCCCAGAGAGGAAAGCCAGATGGAGAGGTTTGTAAAGATGGGAACTGCTCCACTTTGGCTGGATGTTTGAGCTTCAGGACGTGCAGAAGTTAAGCCCAGGGGGCACGTGGCAGACATTAACGCTTCCTCCCCTGAGCCACTGCAGCTCTTCTCCCCTTTGTGAGCATCCAAAGGGAAAGACCAGAAAACTCTGCCAAGGTCACAGCCAGCTGCTGGGGAGTAAGGGCCACCTTCCCCGGGGCTCCTGTAATGGAGGGAGAAGGAACAACGGCTCTCCAGGTTCCGCACCTTCAGCCGTTGCTCTGGTTGCATGAAGGAAAACTGCCCAGAGACGAGGGACGGACAGACGCTCCCCACCCCGCACCCAGGGCTGCGGGAGACCCCGGGTTCCCGACTCCCGCAGCCGGCTGCAGCAGCTCCCTGGAACCAGCCCGGGAAAAGCCCCAGGAGGGGCCCTAGGGAAGGTCCCAGGTAACGTCAGGCAGCTGATGACTGAAGGAACTCATCTCACTGCCAGGGCAGTACGAGGGCTTGGCCTGAGCTTTGGGGCTTTGCAGCTCTGGGCTTTGTTCCACCTGGCCAGCAGGACGCTGCGCTGCAGCTAACAAGCACATGGTAAACGAGGTGGGGTAGAGCAGCCTGTGCTGTGCTCGGGGCCTGAAGGGAAGTTTTGGGTCTCTTCCTCTTTGGCTGGGAATTGATGCTGAAACAAGAGGCCATCTTGCGGGCTTTAGTGGCCTGGCCTTCCCTCTTTACCTCATGCTGCTGGGTACCAGAGAGTGGCAGATGTCACTGATGCTTTATTTTTAACCTCGACAGCCAAGATTTTTCCTTTCCCTTCAGTGGTTCCAGGTGCTTGCCCCAGAATTTACCAAATTAAGCAGAGGGGCAGCTGTCCTGCGTAATAAGCTGAGGGCATGGCAGGGTGGGAGCAGAAAATAGGGCAGTTTGGAAGCCAGATGGCAACCCTAGGGGAGGCAGCAATGAGGGATTAAAAGCCAGCACATACGAGAGCTTGTGCTTTAGGGAATTAGTGTCCTCAGCTGACTTTAAAGTGCATTTTAATCCTCACAAGCCTACTCTGCTTTACCTCAGTGCAGGGACACGTTCCTGACGTGCTGGTGGGGTACGCAGCAGCTTTACTTACTGTGAAAAAGAGACTCTGTCTGTCTGGTTGCTCGAGAGAGGACGGATGGACACGCTCCAGGCTCGGCGGCAGGATAACCAGAGCTGTGCCACAGCCGCTGTTTCTTCTTCCGTGGCCGAGCAGAGCAGAGGTGGGCTCCCCACCGCCGGTATCGTGGCTCCCCACCGCCGGTAGCGTGGCTCCCCGGCTTCGGCCGTGGCTCGCCAGCAGCGAATGCTCCCAGAGCTCCTGCCAGCCGCTGCGGGAGCCAGAACGTCCACGTCCAAACTCGGCTTCCCCGAGGTTCAGTGTCAGTGAATTCTTCAATACTCAAAGTCAACCCCGCATATAAACAAAACCCCTGGGAATTCTGCCAACGTTCAATCATTTCTAGCAAACACAATCCTACTGCTGCGGCGGGGGCCCCCGCCGTTTCTGCCAGCCACCTTCAGTAGCCAACAGTTCTCAGCCGCGTGCCTTCCAGGACGAGCGCCAGCGTCCTTTCTTTACGCGCCTTTCGGAAGGTAGCGCTGACACCCGCCATCGTCGCTGTACATAAAAATGGGCATTTTATTTAGCTGTTATGGGGAACAGGAGGGTGAGCGAGAGATAATCCCGATGCTTATTTAGAAGGCCACAATGACATTTCTTAAACTGAATGTAAGACAAATGCTGTGAAGAGTTACAGGGGCCGGCGGCGGGCCCGGTAACTTACTTAGATTGACTTCTAGAATAGCGCTAGGACACTGTGGTAGGTTTCAGGAGGAAGGGGAGATGGTGCTTCTAGAGGCTCCGAGATCTGAATCAACTGCTGGTGATTTATAGACAATTGTTCATTTTTCACACTCTGGCCACAACGCGTTTTCTATTTCAATGGCCTGTGCCAACGAGCGCTGTGCACGGGCTCCCTGAAAGCGTACTGAAGCTGTTGTACAGTGAACATTTCCAATAAAAACTTGTTTTAATCTTTCTGGCAGTCGGAGCTTGTTCTAAGAAACCAAAACCGCTGGGGAGGGGTGGCTGCAGCCCGCTGGGGGTCCAGCGCAGCCCCAGAGGGACCTGGCCTCTCCGCCACGCCTGGGCATGGCCCCGGAGGAGCAGTCGCAGCAGGGAGCGACGCCGGAGCGGCTGCAGCTGCACGGAAGAGCCGGGGCCTTCGGGCCCAGGAGGCGCAGCGGTGGTTGGAGTAGGAGCAGGCGATGCGGTGCCTGCTCGGGCACCAGCTGCGGGTGGCTCCCCAGTGGGATTTTGGGAGGCCTTTGCTAATGGAGCTGAGCACTTGGCAGTAGCTTTGGGTGAGAAACGTGTTCGGGAAGACGAGCTGGGTCAGGCACCTGCTGCAACCTGTCCCCAGCCTCTAAAAACCGACCTAGAGCCTTCCCCATGTCCCACGAGCTGCGCGAAGCAGGGCCTTCATCTCAGTTTAAGAATCCTACAGGGAATTAGCTGAGAAAGCGTTACTGCCATCGCTGCCGAAGTTTAATTGCATCGCCTGGCTGATTGCGGTTTCATTATAGCGGTGAAATGACTGGCTGAAAGGGTAACGGGGCAGCGTCGCTACGCTGGGGCGCGATGCTGCTCAGCATGCTGAACCCCGAGAGCTTAGGCGTCCTCCGAACCCCGAGAGCTTAAGCGTCCTCTGCTTTGCCGGAGCTGAACGCGCTGCCCAACGTCTGTCCCTGTCCCTGTCCCTGCCTGCGCCGACCGCCGCTGCCGGACAAAGCCGCGGTCCGGAATAATCTCATTTCCTTGGCGGGCGCCGAGTGCCGTCCCCTGCCGACGCCTGTCCTGCGGAAGCAGTGAAACTCCACAACAGTACGGTGTATTAAAATACATACACTTTAATATAAAGACAAAACTTCAAAGCATTGTTTCAATTACAAATCAAGGTAAAGACACAAGAAATTAAGTGGAGGGAGGGGAGGAAAAAAACCCTAACTCTTACATTGTGGAGAATTAGAAAGGCAGGGTGGAAATATATATATTATACATACATATATACACACCAGAAGAATTCACACTACTTCTATGGAAGAATGAAAGGAATGACAGGACAACTTACCGGTATAAAAAAAAAAAAAAAACCAAAACCCAAAAAAAAAAAAAAAAAGATAAATTAGGGGAAGTTTGAATTTTAAATAATTCAGTTTAATAGGCTAAATTATACAAACTAATTCCTATTCACTAGGAAACATCCCATATCACTGTTCTAAGAAAATGTTTTTTTTTTTAAAAAAATCCATTGAAAAATGGATTTTTATTAGTAGTTAAAAGTTTACTAATCAATTCCTGAGCAACAGCAACCTCATCATCTACTGCTTTCCCCATCAAAGTCCCACTCAGCGAGGGCAGGCTCTCACTCCTAAAAACTTTAAGTAGAACAGAGACCTAAAAAGTTGGATTTTAATTTGTAATTGATCGCGTACAAGATTAATAGGTTAAAAAAGCCGAGCAGGATGGATCAACCCATTCCACCTTTTCCTCTTAACTCCAGCGACAAGACCTTTCTAGAGAATGATTTGAGCACACCAGAAAAGCAACCAGATGTACCTTGAAAAAGGATCACAAACTTGAGAACTTCAGGGTTAGCGTCGTAAAACCTTGAATTCGAAGACATGATTTTGTTTTTAAACTCTTACAAACCATTAAGAAACCTCTTCAGGAAGGGGGTCGCAAACACGAGATTTACCAGGGAAGTATTTCCCTTTTTTTTTTTTGTCTTGGGTTTAAACCCTGAAGTTCACAATAATAGCATCTTTCATTGCGATATTCAGTCTAAATAGATATTTATATATTTATAATGCATAAGGATAAATAAAACATGGCACAGCAACATTTTTAATCCATCTTTTAGTGAAAAACCTGATATGCAAGCTATGGAAATGTTGGAGCAAAAAAAGGAGGAAGGAGGAAAAAAAAAAAAAAAAAAAAAAAAAAAAATTCTTCCCCAGCCATAAAGCTTCAAATACTCGACACTGACTACACATCTGCGCTTCCCGAAAATCCAATTCCTGTGAGTTTTTCCTCAGTGCTGCAAAGATAGTTCACAAAAACACTGCCTAGTTTCTTCTCCCCAAACTGTGATTTTTAAAGTACGTTCCCGTTGGTTTGCAGTCCACTGTACAACGTCTGTGCCTTAACGGAAGCAATCATCATTTGAAGCTCCCAATGCTTAATCCTCTCAGGCAAAACAACGATCGCAGACTTTTTCAAGACAGCCACCTGTGTGAGTTGGGGTAACTCCCTCCGAGAAAAAAAAAAAAAATACATCAAGAATCTTCAGGTTTCCATACCCTGTATTACAAGGACCAATTTCAACACAGAAAGCAAATGGGTTAGAGATAGGACTTGATCAACCAAAGCCGCCCGACGTCGGCACTAGGACAAAATGACCAAGTCCTACCGATGGGCTCTTCCGCGAGCAGCACCTGCGATGGGCACCGGCAGCTCCGGCAAGGGACGGCGACCCCAGGCTGGGGATGCGCGTGTTTGTTACTACTGCTCGGAGGTGATTAGCACCAACTCCAGACCCGGCTGGGGAAGGAACGGCCACGGGGAAGGCTGAGCCAGGAGGGGAGTCTCCGATCAGCAGCTTGAGAACATGCTCCCAGCACTGGAAGTCTCCTCTTCCAGCAGCACGGCAAACCCTCGAGCAGGGCGGGCAACCGCAGGCTGACGGAGCAGCCCTTGGTAATGCAAAGGCCCGATCCTGCGAAGGTCCCCTGTCCACAGAGCCATCCTGCTGCCCACAGCGAGCCGGGGAAGCCCTTGTGCCCATGAGTCCCTGCTGCAGGAGCATCACGAGGGCACAGGACCCCCAGGTCCTCGTGCGAGGGCTACGGGTGGATCCACGGCAGTCACAAAGAGGTGGGGCCTCCAAATAAACTCAGAGATGAAAGCCCATGCTGGCCCTCAAACTGCTCACAGTGACTGTCCCCCACAAAAACCCACCACCTAAACAAGAGCCATGTCACCCCGCTGCAGATACCAGCTCTGCATCCCCTGATGCTCTCCTCTGCCGTGCAATCGCTCAGCCCCTCCTCTGCCCGGACTCTCTTCCAAGTGGAAAAATAATGGGTGGGGGGAGCAGATGCTGCTTTCTAAATACACAATCCTAGCAAGAATCAAACCACTCCGGTCCCTGGAGGCGACCCCAAGCTGCTTGTCCATGGCCTCGTTACTCCAGAGCGAAAGACCTTCTACTGGAAGAGGAAGCACAGCACAACGGGAAGATCCGGGCTCCTCTGCAGGGAAGACTGGGAAGGGACAGAACCTGATCACCATGGGGAGTAAATCCGCCCCGGTGTGGGGCACCCGACCTGCAAAGGCTGTTGTAGCCCCTCTGTGTTGGGTAGGAATCTGGGCTGCAATCAAAGCAGGCGAGGCAGGTCTGGCTTACACCCACCTCCTTCCCACTCACATCCCTCCCATTTATTTTCCGAGGCAAGCGACTATCCCAGATACGTCTGTACGGAGAATCATAGAATAGTTTGGGTTGGGAGGGACCTTTACAGGTCATCTAGTCCAAGCCCCAAAGAAGGAGGGTGAAGAAGTGTCCCCAACATCTCTGAGAAGGAAGCTCTTGTCCCCAGCAGGGTGAAAGGCAGGCAGCCACGCGCCTGACCACGCTGCACCAAGCCGCACCGTCAACCCCGAGCAGCCACAGTGGCCAAGCAGTATTGAAGCAACGCTCTGTTTTGAAGTGTTATTCAGATGCAAGGGAAGAGCTTATCAAGCCTGAAACCCATCTGCTCAGCAGATTTCAAATGAAGAAGTTACTTGCTCGGGTATTAAGTTTGACTAAAGAAAGAAAAAAGCTACCCAATGCCTTGACTTGAGATTAAGTAACCGGGTGCGACAAACGGTTGGGTGAGTTCCAGGCTGAGGAGTGTCAAGTCCTGGGGATTTGAAAGCTCTTGATTCACAAAACCAGTGACTAGCAGATCCCTTGGCGATCAAGCGATGCAACCTTCCTGCCTGGGGTACTTCAGCGACCCTACAGACCCTATCCCAGATTCCGACCCTACAAGCTCACCGTCATCTCCATGTGCCCATCCCACCTGTGAGCCCTGGCACAGGGGGAATTCAGGCTTCACATCCCAGGCTGAGCCCACACCCAGAGCCAAAGCCAAACCCCAGGGAACAGCAGGGTGAGCACAAACTCTGTGCTGGAAGATAAAGCAGCTATCACCACTGGGAAGGAAGGACATGAGATGGAAGCACAAGAAAATATTTCTACGTTTGTCCGGCCAAGGAGACCTGAGTTCCTGCTATTAGAACTGAGTCAGAGACGATGCTCCATCCCTAAACGTCACGTACATCTACTGTGCTGCACTCCCCCTTCGCCTCTCTCCCATTGCATCCGCAACCTGAACTAGGAGGGGTGAAGATGCTTCCCATCATTATGGTTGTCCAGACCGATTTACACCTTCCTGCGGGGAACAGCCTCGTCTGCACCAAGACAGCTTGACTTCTCTGTCACCCCGCGCACCGGCTCGGTTTCAGCAAGCCAAGCCTCTATGGCCTCCAGCAATGTTTTCCCACTTTCTCCCTCAACTACACAAAAAGCAGAGAAATCTGGCTGCTGGGCGCCCCAGACGCCCCTGGCTCATGGAGGAATCGTTGCTGGATGACTAATCCACAGCAAACAGCGAGTTTAGTGGAGCGCTCCCAGCTTCACAGCACGGTGGGTCTCAGTGGGCTGAACCCGGCGAGCGCGAGCCAGAGGTAGCAAATCACCAAAAAAGGAAGAGTGCGCAAGGCTTGTTCCTCAAGGCTGACATTTAGCAGCGGGGCACAGGTTTTGCTCAGCACAACGCTCAGGAAGTTCCTTTTTTTTTTTTTTTTTGGCAACATATGTGCTACAAGATGTATTTTAGCTTCCTGACGAGTCCCTCGCTGGCAGCAGCGGCGTGGAGGAGAAGGAACATGTGTGACAGCCATGAAACGACCGGACCCAACAGGATGTGGTAACGCAGAAGGAATTCCTTTTTTTGGAACTGGCTGTTTGGCTTTGATTACTCAAAAGTATCTCCAATTACTGAAAACACGTTTCAGACCTCTGGCACAGCACTCCTACAGTAGGGTCACAAGGGTCTTATTCTTGTAGCCATATGGATCAGATCTTAACGTCTCAAAGCTATTCCTTCAGCAGCCCGACAGCAAGGTAAACGCTCTCCCCGTTTTGCAGACAGAGGAGGAACGAGTTGAACCAGACCAAGATTAAGGCAAAGCAGTAAAAGATCAGGGAGCAGGGAAGACAACACAAATCTCTTGGCAACATCATCTCCCAGCGAATGCAATACTAAGACATCAGTGCAAAAGCTGTACTCGCCATCTCACACTGCTCCCTACAAGCGTTAGCTCATCAGGCACCTTCTGGAAGCACATCTCTGTAGGGATTACTACGACGATTTAGATTAGATACACCGCACAAGTGACACGCATTGCAATGACGCAACGCATCGCAAGGTGAAGGATCCAACGGTGTCAGGCGTGGGTGGAAGACACCGGCAAGGCCAGAGCAGCTCCAGGCTCCTGCAGCATGAGCTGCCAAGATGGAAACATCAGGTCACTGGGAACAGCAGCACTGAGGTGATGCAGAGGTAGATGAAGGCCCGGTCCCAATGGACCCCAGGAGGCTGAAGCGGATGCTCAGCAGGTTGGCCAGCAGACTGAATCCCTTTCAAGTACATCCCAACTATGAGTTTATTCCTGGGTCAGCATCTGGTTTCCTTTGGCCTTCCCAGATGCAGGCTGGAGAGTCGCAGACTCCAAAATGCTGGGTAGTTGAAAACATCTTGACAGCGCACGTGTGCTCAGCTACAGCGAGCGGGCTTGAGCTGCCGATCTCCGATGGCGCTCGTGAGCAAGTCCTGCAGCAGACACCAGCTGACTACCAATCACCAAAGCACCCGATACCGCAGGTGACACTGAGGGACAGAGGGGGGGTTGATTTTCCACAACACCCACCAGAAAGCAGATGACAAACTCCTCGCCCGGGGCCTTTGCTCCGAAGGGTCACAGAATCACAGAATCATTTATGTTGGAAAAGACCTTTAAGATCATCAAGTCCAACCATTGACCTAACACTGCCAAGTTCACCACTAAACCACGTCTGATGGTTCTGTCTCACTCCCCAGGCACCAATTCCTGAAATGCTGCGAACCTTGAGGGGTAAAGCAAGTTATTCCTGCAACAAGGATCTGGCCATCCTCTTTGGCCCAGGAGGAGTGCCAGGAGCCAGCTGGGCGACACGGGCCTCAGGCAGGTGCTGGAAAGCACAGAAGGTTCGACAGAGCTCTGCGAGTCGGTTCCTCCTCCTAACAGGCATCTTTGCTAGAGGCCTCTGAGCACCTCGGGTATGAGCACAAGCGAACCCTCCCCATACCAAATAAGCGACAGCGGCCGAGTTGCTGGATGTCTCCTGTGGTTTGAGATGAAGTGGGGCACAAGAGGTCCACAGAGCACCGTATCTCAGTCCCTTTTCAGAAAAGGATCTGATAAAAGCAGAGTGATTAAAAGCTTCTACTTGTATTTCCTCATCCCTCTCATCAGGGTTATAAACGATAGGGGGGAGATTAATTAAGGCTCCTGCCCCTCCAGCAATTGCTCAGGCCCAGCCTACCAATTTAAAGCCTTCAAAGACCTGAGCACTCTGCCATTTGCTGGGAAGGATGCTAAGGCAGCTCTGCAACTCCAGTCACCCAAGGATCTAGAAGAAGCTGGAGCTGCCCAACTCCCAGCTGCAAAACATCTGGGTTACATTGTCTTCCTGGATTCCAGGACATAAACTGTGTACGGCTTCTACTAGAAGCTACTGGATGTTTCTCAGCTATCACCCTCTGAGCATTTTTGCCCTTTTCCAGATTTTCATCTTGCTGTTAATAACTCAGCAGGGCGCACGGCTGTCAAGTCCTCTCCCACACGCAAAGCAGAAAACAGTTCCAAAACGTCCCTAATTTCCAGGGCTATTCATCCCTTCCCTTTCCAGCGAATAAGAAGGCAAAGTTAGATCAACAGTTTCTGCGCACAAAGGCTGCCTATGGAAGACACACAAATCAACAAAATAACTGCATTCGTCCTAAATCTCTACTAAGATTGCCAGGGATGAGGTACGGAGAAAAGAGCCTAACTGAAGTCTGTAGTGGGTAGGAGCTGTTTCGGGCACCTCTCCCTGCCCACCCTCTCGAACCCGGCCAGCACGGCGCTCACAACTGTTCCTCCCAGACCCAGGCAGCAGGAGAGAGCACACGAGGGCAGAAGCATCTTGCTGACTTCAAAAAGAGAGGCAGGAGTTGAACAGCTAATGCGTTCAGCCCAGCTTTTTGTGACCGCGGGATGCCCCGTCAGGCGGCTGGTAAGGTAGGGCTCAGGTCTAAGGTGAATGCCCGGCTGCTGGAGGTGGGAGACTCATTAGGGAGCACTAACGACCTAGAAGGGATTTAGGGACAGGGAGCGCCTCTGACGCAGAGCAGTCAGTGCTGCCCCTCAGAGCACCGGGGCTGGCAGGCAGATGTTTCCCAAAGCCTAAATGTGTTTTCCTTCTTTTCATTTTGCTGTTGCAAATTCCCCTTCTTTTACTGTAGTTTCCTTTCCTGGTGCTGGGTCCAGCCTGAACTACAGACCAGCGTGATTTCTACTTAATAGATCATCCATCTCCTCACTTTGTGCACTTGAATAAATAAGTTTTTACAAGTTTACTGTGCATTGTACAATCTAAAAATAAATGAAATAAAGTATATGAAATTTATAATTTTTCATCACATCTCTATAAAATACAGCCGCTGCTCCGAGCGGCGCTTTCTGTACACAGAACACCAAGTCACGATACAATTAACTGCACCAGTTTGATAGTGTGGCAGCACGGTAAGCTAGATTGTGGTGTTTTTGTGAACTACCATTTAGACCTACTTAAAGCAAATAAATACAAAAGCAAAAAGCACTTCCTCAATAAATGTACACGGCTAAGCCATTTCTGAATCAAGTATCAAAACCCTACTAACAAAATACATTGTACTCGGAACGAAAACTACAAGCTGGGAAACTCTGCTACCTGCACCAGTACAGAAGCGCTATGTTCAGTCTTCCCAACGTTGGTAAAAAGGGCCTGACCAATACCAGTGATTATGCACCCTGTTCATATGCCAATGACATCCCAAAACAAGTTACCAGACTAGCTACCAAAATTCACAGTGACTTGAGTGCCACCAGCAACTGCAAATGGCCCAGTGAAGTAGTTAAAATGGGGCAGGACTTGAATTTCTTCTGTTCAAACTGTGCCTGCGTTGGCTGAGCTTGCCCGGGCGACCCCAGGAGCTCTAGCTGCCACTCCAGAGGGGAGTACGGAATTCGTGTCTGTAACGAACACAACGAAAAACCACCCAGTTAACAGAGCGCCTGGCTCAGTTCAAATGAAAACAACATGTTAGATAAAAGACTGCCATTCTCTGTGGCTCACACTGCTGCAAACCAAGCGGATTTTGGTATATGAACAGAGCAAGATGAAGAAATAAACTGCAGACCTTTCTGAGAACTGGGTTTGGCATTGGTCAACCCTCCAAATTCAGCACCAAGGATTCAAACTAGAGGCACAGTTCTGACGGATGAAATAGCACCGAGAGGAGGCTCTTTACATCTCTGCTGGTGTGCCAGTCCTTTATTATTCGGAGAATTTAATAATAAGTTGTATTTATGATTCTAGGTGGAATAAAATAAGTCAAAATTGTTTTCACTTTATCTAAACTATCAACAATACAAACTGGAGCTTTAAGCATTTCTTTTGCCTTTTTTTTTTTTCCTTTTTTTTTTTTTACTCAGATTCACAGTAAATATTTTCTCTGTTGTTTAGGTCTTTTTATGTTTTTATTTTGTCCAGTAGTAAGAGAGTAGAAACCCCTGCACAGGCCAGGTGAGCACCTTTCAGTGGAAGCCGAGTGAAGTTGGTCCACGTTGTCCTTGCATAGGTCACATTGGGTTGAGGTAGAAATCCTAGTTACCTGCACAACAGGAGGAGAGGAAGAGACTCATCTAAATAAAAGACAAAAATCTACTGTGTGTTAGATGCGTCAATCATTTCTACATTGCTCCAAGACCTCGTTAGCCAGCAAAGAAGGAGCAACTCTTGACCCAACCGCAATTAAGACACAAAGGCTGCCTCCAAGAGTGACACACAGCCCCTCACGGCTACTGCAGTTTTTAAAGCTCTCTGACAGCGTAACCCTATTGAACTGCGTCCTCCCGTGACCGACCTCGAGTCGGGGGAGCATTTCCCCACTCAGTGCTTCACCTTTTTCTAGCACACACTGATCTGCTTGGAATTTTTTTATTACCCTGGGGGAGAAACATTATGAGAAGCAACGCAGTTTATTTTAGCCTCCAATTCCAGATTTCAGCTTTGGTTCATCAAGGACTCTGAGCACAAGTATTCACACCAAAGTCAATGAAACTGCTCAAATATTTGACCTATGTTCAAGAGCGACACGGAGTGGGATCACAGCTACGGAACGTCTGTCATACACCACCTCCTGGTGGCATTATTTCTGCTCCTTTCCCCCACAATCCAGCTTTCTCCGTACGTCACTTTTGTGCCTTGCCTATTTTGCTCAGAACCTTTTTGTGGCAGGGACCATCCCACCCGAGGGTATGGAGTCTAGCCCAGTATGACCTCAGGTCCAGGTAAGGCGACTGCGTCAGCAGAAGGCTTTCACCCTGTTTTCGCTTGAGTCGCTCACATATACAAAACCCCAAGCCTAACCCTCCTCGCCCCTTCTCCCCCATCTTGTTTCTATTCAAGGTCTTTCAAGCCCGTTCTGTAACCACATCACACTGCCGGCCTCTGCGGGAGCACAGGGACCACATTACTCAAAACCCTTCCTCAGCCTCGCTTTCTCCTATAGAAGGACGGGGGTAATACTTACGTGCCTCACAAAAGCCTAAGGAGGATTTGTTTGTGTCTGTGGAGCAATTTGATGATGAAGACACTATACACAATGCACAGTCAAAAGAATCTCTCAGGTATATTGTAATTGAGTCATGTTTTATAAGCGGCAAAGAGTATTCAACCATATATCGTATGTAGCTTTGGTATCAGTGAACAGCAACAACATCAAAGACCTACAAGAAAAGCACGGAGCAAGCTCTGGGGCCTAACATACTGATTTAACTTTGCAAGCACAAGTTGTTATTACATCAGGATGCCACAGAGTATTTTCATGAACAACAGTACCCAACTCTGTGGTGGTACACTTTATTCTGGAGTTGTTCTAAAGGCAGTTAAATATTTGCTTCAGTAAAAATGCGTACAGTCTCCGGAAACCTTCCTTTCTTCTGTGGCCCCAGCCTTTACGAAGCACGGACCACAGTTAAGCCTGCAGATTCCCTGTGTTCTCATTCACAGTCTACCCAGTAAGCCAGTGATCGCCAAGTAAGCATAAATACAGCATCTGATGTTAGCCCTAGCAGGCAAGTCCAATAAAGCTGCAGTGCACAGATAAATTACAACCCTTCTTCGCTACCTGTGGTTGTGTTTTCCAGTGATGCAGGGGGCACATTAGCTGCAATGCAAGACCAGTGCATTTGCTCTCCAAGGCAAAGCTGCAGCTTGTAACCTCAAGATTTTGAACTTTATGGTTATTTAGAGCAGCTGTTGTTGGCTACGGTAAAAATAAGACCACCACATTGCCACATACAGTCACAACGCAGCACCATCACGCATCCTAACGCTATGCGAACATGGATTTGTGGAGATGCAACAGTCTGTGTCGGAGGGCGAGAAGAGGGGAGGGGGGAATCAAAGTAGGCAACAACCACTTCCATTAAGTGTATAAAAACATACTTAAAAATAGACATTTCCTCCTGATTACTGACCTTCAGAAATAAACATTTTCATGAAGTGATCCCAACCTGAACATAATCCTAATGTCAGCTAAGACAGAGTTACCATTGTGAGCACTCCTTGTCGAGAAATCCTGACTCCCAGAACAGAGAGCATTAAGACTCTCCATCCTCTGCAATCAGATTATTTGCTTCCCACATTTTAGAGGTTTCTCTGTTTCACAGAGCCCATCCCCAAGCTATCTCTGAAAAGGAAGAAGCATCATTCAGCATCTTGTACAAAACTCCTCGGTTTTTTTCTCTAGCCTTACCTTACAAAATAAGAACTGTTAGCTAAGCAAGCTCTTTATCGTGGCTTAACCCCAGAAAGGTGCGAAGCATAAGGAGACTGCATGCCAAGTGTAACCCACATAGCGGACGTGCCAGCTGCGTTGGACTGCGTGATCATGGGCGCGGACTGTGCCAGCGCCAAACGGGGCAGAGGTGGGTGATGGACTGTAAAGGAGGGGCGGGAGGTTTTGTGCTGGAGAGAAGCTAGCTTAATAGACAAAGAAGCATTAGCAGATTGGACAGAAGCAGCAGAAGAGGATGGCAAAAAAGCTTCGCTAGGTGGGATGGATGGCAGGTTCTGCAGAAGCGCAGGCTCGGAGTTAGAAGCAAGTAATGGAGGAGGCGGGGGCAATGAAACGTTAGGAGGGGGCGGAGGGGAATGGAAAACAGATTGCACTGGCGCTCTGTTGAGGTGCTGAGCAGATCTAGTCTCACTAGATGTTACTAAATTAGAGGAAGGGGGTGGGAAGGATGAGGATGAGGTGCTGGCAACAGCCTGCAGAGGGTTTAAGCTTAGCACTGTGCTGCTAGAGACAGCACTGCTGCTGAAACTGGCTCCAAATTGATGAGGAGAGGAGGCAGAAGGCACCGCATGGTTAAAAATACCTGCAAACAGGAGAGAAAAACTCAGCTTCAACAGATGGGCTTTGTACAGTCTCAAGTGACAAGAGAAACAAAACAAAAAGGCAAAAAAAAAAAGTGAAAAAAGCAAAATTATAATAGTTACAGCCCCATACAAAAATATGCAGCATGAGAAGGCAGCAAGCAATGAGAGATAATGGTGCAGGCCAGGAGGTACAAAAGATTTCACTTACCTTTCCTACTGCCAACCTCTAAATGCCACGAGGAAAAATGGTCAGACCCAAGAACTGTCAGTTCTATACCACACGGGTAGACTTTTGATGAGATTACGTGGTCTCTAGAGTTGTTTATCTGAAGACTCAAACTGCTGCTCTTCCCTCCCCACCCTCCTGCTTTCCCACTTACAGGGCAGCAGAGGGGAGTTTGTATTTCCAGCAAATCTATGTGCTGAGAGATGTGAGAGTTAGGATTTCCCGACATGGTGTCTGAATGATTATGGACAGGTAAGAAAAACTACTTTGGACACTTAGTAACGGCAGGTTCAGACTATCTTCTAGTCCTGCCAGCTTGTCTCCGGTTTGGGCCACAGAAGCCAAGCCTGTGCAGAATTCCAGAAGCGCAAGGTGCATATGGCATTGCCCTTCCTGGCAAAGAAACGCTCTTCATGTCCATTCAAGAGCCAGAATGCTACGCAATTCCCAACACCATCTCCTCTGAAGAGGCACTGATGTTTTGCTCTTCCTGGATCATGCTAAATCCGTTCAAGGCCTAATCTCAACCTTTACTCAAGTCGACAAGTTAGAGATCCTTAACTTAGTACCATGACAAGTTAAATCTTTTACCTGCAGGCAGACCTAAGTTGGTTCCAACACAGCAACATCTGAACAAGCATACATTATGAAATCACAAAGTCTGGGTGTATTCTTTCATTAAGGTGATACAACAAGCTCATCTAGTAGACAAAGCTCATGAGATTTCACTGTGGGGAACTGAACTCATCCTAGCATTTCCAAGAGAAAGAGGAGACTGGTTATGTGGGACAGATCTGCTTCACATCCTGCAGAAATGAAAGGGTTTCACCCCTGGAGAGGCAGTGTCAGACTTTCCTTTAGGCCCTGTCTTATACCAGAGAAAGGGTTCTGCCTACCTCCAACTGTTCCACCTGTAACCCCAGGAGAGAAGTTCCCCATAGTGTGAGAATTAGTCAGTCTGGTTGCAGCTGATGACACGTGGACCAGACTGGCAGCAGCTGGCATTGAATTAAATAAGGACTGCAATACTGAGGAATTTGTCACCGAGTTGAGGTTTGCTTGCAAGGCCATGGGGCCGAGGGGGAACTGTGATCCAGTGGTCAAAGTGTTTAGGAAAGGATGGTGCGTCTGAACAGAAGATGCTGGGTTGCCTGCTGAAGAAACAGCAGTAGAAAGGCTTTTACCATTCAGAAGGCCACCAGACGAAACAGCAGCAGAAATGAAAAGGTTGTGGCCATTTTTAAACTCCACATCTCGGTCCCTTCCTTTGCCGACCTTTCCATTATGCTGCAAAGAGTTTTTTTCTGAAGAAACCCCAGTGCGAATGCTTATTTCGCTGATCTCTTTGCCTTTGACCCCCGACCGATTTAAGTCTTCTCCTTTCGTGCCGCCGAGGCCTTCGAGTTGCCTCTTGTTCAAAAAAGGATTCGTTTCCGATATCCCCACATCTTTGCTTCGCTGCGACTGGAAACCCAGGGAGCAGTTGGAAGTCGTCACGTCCGAAGCCTTATGCGGAAGAGAAGCACCATCGATAAAGCTGTGTAAACCCATGTCAGTTGACAGTCCACCATTGTACGTGAATCCGTTAGTGGAGTTTGTACTAGGGCTGAGCCCATCTGCCCCAGACGAGGGCATGGCAATGCTTTTCCTTGCGTGTGCTGTGATCTTGGCGTCGATGGCAAGGCTATCCTCAGAGGAAGGCTTGAAGGCAAACAGCGAATTCTGGCTCAGAGATGAAACCGACTGCAAGGGACTGTCTGTAGTTTTGGTCAGGTTGATGTCAGATATTGGTGAAAAAGTAGATTTCCATTTACTGCTATTCATGTTCTCGTTGCTTTGTGCTTGTTTCCTCACAGATAAGCTGCCACCTAGTTTGGAAGAAAATTTCTAAGTGTCAAAACCCAGCATTGACTGAATCTGCTCATTAAGAACAGGGCTTTATCTTTCAATACCCACATTTTATCAGGCTGTAATTCTATTTCTGATCTTTGGCAGAAATATTTGTGAAGTCACCTAAAAGTCCTTAAAAATTTGGTTTAATGCTCTGGAAAAGTTTGAGAATGCTGATCTACTTTTTCCTCAGTTTTTGTACTCCAGATCCCTCCCCAACCCAAGAGTCAGCAAAAAAAATAAAAAAGGTCAGATCTTTGGTGACCTGTGACTACAGAAAGAACTGGCCCAAAATGTGCAATTATCAGCCACCTGTCTTAATTACAATTATGCAAAGCCCTGGCAGAACTACACTCTGCTCAGCACCACAAAGTCTGCTTCTGCCTAACAACTTCAGTCAGGGGCAGACACCCGTTCCCAAGACCAACCATTACAACAAATAATTAAGATTCCTCACCACCTACCATTTTCAACAGTCTTCTGTGGAGATTTGCTTTCCAATGATATCGTTGCAATTTTCCTTTCAATTCTAGTGGGAAAATAAAAAGGTTATAGCACTCACTGCTGACCTTTTGTTGAACATTTTCCCTCATAACCTATCTTCCTCATGTTCATGTCTTAACAGGCGACTATAGAGTCCATAAAGCCAAGTCAGCTAGAAAGCTGTATATTGCCAAAGGAACTTAAAAGCATAAAAAAAACCCACCAGGGACTTTAAGTAGAAGCTATTACAGAATTTGTGCTCTTTGCCAAGATTAGTGCCCGTTCAGAGGACTTCATTGTTGCTCTCCTTTCACAAGAAGTAGGTTGTTGCTCACATTTCTGTAGTGGTTACTTTTCCAGCACCTTAACCAAGAAAAAAATTGCACCCCACAGGCAGGCAAAGGGTGGCAAGTAGTCAATTTTCAGAGCAACTCATCAACAGTTTGGGGCAGGAAGAGAAGAATTTTGAATCAAGCTGAAACTGGGAGTGAGGGGGAGACAGATTCTTAGTTAAAGATTACACATAGCCTCCGTACTCCTACAAAGCAACGTAGTAAAAAGAAATCATTTCCACACTAGTTCTTTCAGAGGCTGGACTCTGTCAGTCTTGCAAACACAGCAAGAGTAGGTTCCCACATTCAAGTACTACCATTGAAATACCTTCCCTATTCATGATTTCAGCAGCGTAAGAGGCTTGCCATAATGGAATCGGTCTCCAAGCAAAGGGAACAAAGAAGGTTTAACACACCTCTTGGGTTTAGAGCACTGTTATCAGCTCACAGAGAAATCTCATCCTGAAACCTATGCCTGTGTATTCACCTGCTGCTATTGTGCTCATCTTCAGATCCCTGCTCTTCATCTGATGTTAGAGGAGAGTAATGAACACCGTTGGTCTGAATGATGGGCTTTTCCTTTTTCAGTACCGGGGGCTGGTCATTGTCCTGGTAAGGAACAGGAGAGTTCTTCAGGGAATTTTCAGGAGAGGAAATGGCTGTTATTTCTAAAGGCTGGTTAATGTTATTGACCTGGGCAAGAAGGAAAGAAAGCAGTTACAGATGAGAGCATCCCTTTAGCAACAAGGCATCTTGTTAAGGATATTAAAAGCAAGCTTAACTTGCCTAGCTTTAGGATATGCCAACAGCTGCTTGTTTAGCACCGCCGCTGTTACACTTCACCACCCTGCATTAGAGCCTGGGACGAAAGCTTTAATACAATTTGGAAAACACCTAATTTTTGTTCTTCGATTTCAAGTTTAAACACAGAAATGAAGACATGGGATAATCACTTTTCTTTTTTCTAAACTACCATTGCAGGATCACATGAACACAACTTGTATAGCTGGCTTAATTATGCAAGAATGCCATATGCTTCTGGCACTCTTATGCTATTTAGTCAATCTTAGTTTAAACTATTTTCAAAATATTTAACCTACAGCCTAAAAATCAACTTCACTGCAGAAACAAGGTCTTTGTCATAAGGGAAGAGATTATTTTCAGTTTTTAATGCTCTGACAGCGAAGAACCCTTTGAAGATGCTCTACCTATACAGAAAAGGTTCACCAACTTTTCAGCAATTCTTTCCCCTCTGAGGGGCCATTTTCACAAAGGGTTTTCATGCCCATTCTAGCTACTAGCCCTGTAACAGCCTGAGAGCATGCTAAAGAACAGAACAGCTGAAGCTTATTTCTAATTCAAAGAGCATTCCCAGGCCCTTCTCTCTTGCTAGAGCCCTTACCATGGAGTTGATATTGAGCGGTGAACCTGATGGTTGCGTAAAGAGTCCAGACACAGTAGGTAAGGATTTGCGTTTAGGGGAGACCCCGGAGTTCCCGCTGAGATTCCCAGTAGAGGATCTCTTCCGCCGACCTCGCTTCTTCCCATCCTGCGCGTGTGCTTGGCCACAGTCCAGCCGAGCGCTCGTGGGCAGAGGACTGTGCTTGTTGGAAGGGGATTGTTTTACATGTCCTGTATTAGGAGAGATTGTAAAGATGATTCTTCTCTTGGCCTCGTTCTCAGGATCTGAAAACGCTGCATCAGACTGAAGATCCCCCTTTGTTCCTTCGGCAAACATCTTCTGAGCATCTGCATATTGCAATACCCCTACCAGGCTCTGGGAGGTGCCATTTAACCTGGGGCTTGTTGAGTGCTGGTGAGCAGGGGAGTTTTGCCCAGAGTTCCTTGACTGCATCATTAGCAAAGGATGTTGTGGAGTGGAACTCCGAGACCCTACTGAGTTAAACAGACTCCCAGAGTCGTCCAGAGCTGCCTGATCAACACTATGGTTAAGATGGGCTGGGCTGTTTGTAAGATTTCCATTGACTGCCACGGAGCCAGAAGAGTAAGAAAAACCTGTTGAAAGGGAAAGTATACATCATTGCTTCTGCTGAGTGATAGTTCACAGTGCTAGATTTCTGGGATGACTGGGAGCGGTTTCAGCTCTACAGGAGCATTAGATCAGCCAGCAGCCATGTATGACACGGGAAACTGCACAGCTGCTTTTTACACAGTGCAGTTGAGAACGTGGCTCTGTGTGCTGATGATTTCAGTTAAGGGTTAACGATTTTCACTACTTTTTTGCCAGTTCAGGAAAATTCATGTGTTATAAGGAGATACCCTATGCTCTACCTGGTTTTAAAAAGGAATTCAAGTGTAAGTTTCTTTAGAGCTATTACGCCTTTAGAAATCAGGGCTCCTCTGCTCTCAACTCCTTCCTATTGTCAAGGAAACAGATGGCCAAATTCAGTCCGTTTCCTTCACCAAAAAAGAAGGGACTCTGTCATCTATACAGCCCACCTCCTTCTCAACATTAAACAAAAGGCTGTGGCTTAGGGAGTGACAGGGGACCTTCAAAGAAACCGTGGCAGAAGAACGCCACATGGGAGGAAGCTTAGAAAGGGGATGAAGTATTTGTCATGGTGTAAATGGGTTTAGTGCTCTAGTAAGGCCTTGTCTCTGGGCTAAGTGAAGGGAACATGGTATTGTTTTACAACAAGGGGTTTTTTTAAATATTCCATTGGTTTTATAGAAAACTGCAGCCAAGCCCTTCTTTGCAAAACAGATGCTAGAAACAACACAAGCCCCTCGAGGTGGTAAACATTAAGAACAAATGCACTCTCTGATGAAGAATCAGCTGTAGAACGGCTTCTGCATGCTAGAACCAACTTTTCCTGGTCCACATTTCCATACCCTGAACAGCTGAAGGCCACAATTTCAACAGACGAGTGAGTTCAGAAGCAATGTCTGTGCTTACAGGCATCCCTACCCTCTCCTGATCAACCTTTCTTCCTACCCAGATGCCTTTTACAACTGCTCATGAAGCACCATTGTGACCTGCATCAAGAAATTAATTTTGCTATTAAAAAAACTCCACCACCCTGTAAAATTAAACTTTTAAAACCAGATCATCAGCTCACAGCATAGCTATGCAACACTTTGCTGGTTTGCCACATTACAGAGGCAGGAATCTCTTAATCCACATAGAAGAATTTACAAAAAGCAATTCTTTATTTACACTGCAGGGTGCTGCAGTTCAGGCAAAGGCACATCAAACCAATAATTTATGCCAGAATGCACCCAAGCTGTAGGCACATACTGACTCAAAACATCATTGCTCATGATTCTTTGGTCTCGTTACAAAAGACACATTCATCTAGCACTCTACTGCTTGAATGACCTAACAAGAAATGCTTGGAAAACTCCGATGCATGCACTTGGAGGTGCTGTCACGACAAGACGGCGCACCTTCGCGTAGATGAGGCTGTTACCTGAGGTAGCCAAAGCCAGTGGCTTGTTTCCAGCAGCATTGCTTACGCCATTATGAGAACTAGCACCAATCTGCTTTTCAAGTGTCGATGAGTCTCTACTCTGATGAACTGGGCTAGGTGTGCTTCTCTGGGGGGAGAGAAACAGGCATTTCAGTACAGGAAGTATACTCAAAAGTCAACAGTTTAAACAAATCGCATGCATTAGTAGATCTACCAAGGAAAGTGGCCCTACCAAGGAAAGTGGCCCTACTTTCCCTGCTCCTGCGGGGGGGGTTCCCTGCTCCTGCGGGGGGTTTGGACTAGATGACCTCTAGGGGTCCCTTCCAACCCAAAACATTCTATGATTCTATGATTCTACTTCCTAAATGTCCTAGATTTTGCTTGTTTTGAGAAAGCCATAGATCAGCATGTTATGGGACAAAAATAGATACTGTGAATAATTACACTGCAATAGTATCTAGCACACAACAGATACCACGCAGATAGAGGGAGAACAGGCTCCTCGTCCCAGAAAGTTTAGACTCAGGACAGCACTGTAATCAGAGAACGAATGCCTGTTTCACAGGCAGCCGGAAAGGAACCAAATGATTGTACCATGTCCCCAAGCCTGTGCACATGAAGTTCCCCAAAACAACCCCAAATGAACATGAAATGCGTTAGGCTACGTTCTCTGGTACGCTATCCGAGGGTATGATCAACAAGCAGTGTTTTCCTAAAGCAGGCAAAACAATTGTGAAATGGTAGCCTGAATAAACAACATGTTGAAGTGAGAGATGCCAGCCAGAGCTAACATTCTCTCTGAGGACATGGGACTTCCGCTCGGAGCTGGGCAGACTGTGGTTCTGCTACAACTAAAGTCTACAGCTGGAAAAAGATAATGGATTCAATACTGTGGAACAACTCCAGCTTTCCAAATATGGGATTGTAAGGCAGGCATTTGTGGATGGATTCTAAATTCACAGCTCTCATGTGAAAGCAGCAAATGTTTCTCAGTTCTCTGCTGTAACGCTTTTGTGACAAACATTTCTGAGAAACTGGGCCCAGGCTTTTTTAAAACTCCTCTGCTACTGAGAGTAGCATAGGCTTATCAGAGTAGCCCCAAAAATTCTTTAATTGCTCTGCTGCTGCAGAGCAGTCGCTCGCACATTAGGTATTACAGCCTCAAGGCACTATTCAAGCTCATCCTACACACGTATGTGATAAAGACAGACAATTTTGAGACAACCAAACTGAGGCAGAAGAATTTGTCTCCCAGGGTCATGTAAGAAGGCAGGGGCTAAGAACAAACTGATGTGTGCGATTCTCTGCTTTCACTGCCACAAACTCACAGATTCTGCACCTTTTCCACCCAGCTGGACATTTAAGACTAGGATCTCCTGAGGCACATGCTTTACTTTCCTTCCTGGCTGAAATACCACCACCCCACAGACAAAAGAGTAAAAATCTACAGAATGATTAAGAGCCAAGAGGATGCATCCCAACAGCAGCCTCCCCCAAAGCATCAGACATTGGAGATTAGCAGCCCCCTAAGGATTCTGGTGCACAGCACCCCATTACTGCCCAGTGTGATTTTAGTTAGGGATGGAAAGTGTTGACAATCCCTTACTCACCACCTTCTCAACACGGCTAGGTAGGACTACGCTGGCCAGAGGGATACTAACAGGGAGTTTATTGGGCTGCACTGTGCTGAGAGGAATACTGATAGGTAGGCTGGTGATAGTTTCTCCATTACTCACAGAGGTTCTCTCTCTCAAAACCTGTAAATACAAAAGAGAAAGTCATGTTCTTAACTGCATGCTATTACTGAAAAGACTTTTTAAATTAATGGTAACCTGCTCATTTATATTTTGTCCACCCCACCTTTTTTTTTTAAAAAGAATTACACATTTAAGAGTGATGACTATAAAGCCAAAGCCAAGATAGGGCACGCATGGAGCAGCTTTGTTACCAACACCAGTCTACTGGGACAGCAATATTCAAAGCACAGAAATATGTAAATTAAAGCTACTGCTGGCCCCAAGCAGAAGGAAAAGGATGCCTTTTAGGCAAGCTCATTTCTCAGTGCCTTTGTGAGAGCTCTGTGAAAAGCACTCATCTGACAGAATTCATATCTTGAGGCCCTCTGTACGCAGAAGCTGTAGTACCCAGAAATATTTCCATGGTAACCTCCTGTTGGAGGGCACCTGCTTACTCTGAAATGAGCACCAATCTGATTCATGGCTGGACCAATTACAGGGACAATTTTTTGTTATTTTCATTTTTTTTTAACTATGAAAGAGCCTACTTTTCAAGTTCAAGTAGACACACATCAGATCAAAAAGAAGTCCTACTGCATTACTGGCACAGTTCATAGGCAAACCAGAGGTAAGCACGTCTTTCATGAGCACTTTCTCTTCCTCTAGCCAGCTCCTTTTTATTGTATCACACCTACTGTGTTTTGTGTTATTTTCCATACCACGCTGACCACAGAAAGGAGCATGCCTGCATTCTCTACTTTGGCCAACTTTTTCTTTGTTCTACCACGTGTAACATCTCTGCACTTGAGCACCAGCAGATCTCTTACCTTCTCGCCTGCAATTGGTAAGGCCGCTGGGGAAGAGGGCCGAGTTTCCTGAGGACTCAGCTTTATGCCATTTGAAATACCAGGGCTTGGATATGTAAGGCCATTCTCTTTGACATGGTCAGCTCTATAGGAGAAATGTATGACTGTTAGAATGCAAAAGCTAAGGACTTCTCTTTTGCAAGGAATTCCTGTAACCAAACTCAAGGCACTGTACCACCTTATTTACCCCATCAGCTGTCACCGCTGGTTTTCCTGACACAGAAAACACCACTTTTAAAAATATTTTTCCACAATCCAAATAAACCACCGTTATTAAAAACAAGCAATAGTATTACCCCTCCTTTCCCATCCTAGGAAATGATCACTCTCACCTCTGTATCTCATTAGTTGTTGCTTTTCCATTGACTGCATGGTCTTGATTCAAGTGTCTCCTCAGTGCTATTTTAGCTGGGGAAAACCTGGTATAATCGGGTAAGGACAAGCTCGTCATCTTGTCTGCCTTCTGTCTGCTGCTGTGGTTTGGGGTACACGGAACTATTTCTTGGTCCAGGTGAGAGGTTGTGTACTGAGGGGTGTTCTGCTTGGAAGAGGGCCTGCTAAAAGTGTTATGAATTTCATAGGGAGTAGCATGGCCATTCATGGACAGTTCAGGACTCATGCCATTGATGTGGGGCATAGGAAACTTAGAGCATTCGAGCTCCAGTTGGAACCTGCTGTGATCAGCCTCAGGATCACGGCTCAAATGGTTTTTATTGCGTAGCTGTACTGACAGTGACTCATCAGACGGCGTGTACGATTTCAGCTGCATGAGCTCCTGCTGCCTTTGACTTTTCTCAAGTTCCACAATGCTGATCTTGAAATGAAGAGGAGGACAATGATTAAAGACCGTACTTAACAACTCTATCACATTATGGAGTTTTGCCTTGATATGCTTCTTAGGAAGAGAGGCCCCATTTCTGGGAACGATGCAAAACAATTGACCCACAATTTGAGAAACAGATTTCAACACGCTGCTGAGCTTGAGGCCAAAAGGCGTAGGCAAGGGGAAAGGCTCAGCAGCTCTTAGAAAGTGCCTTTCAGATCTTGAAAGCAAACATAAAATACCTCCAACAAGTATAGAGAGTATGGAGTAACTCAATGCTGCCAGTCATTGAAGGAAACAGCCACTCCATGTCAAGCCATCTAGCAAAAGGCTGGATTAGCCCTAGTGCTCATCTCACAGGGAAAGAAAAGTTCTCCAGTCACAGGAGTTTAATTTCTTTTCACTATGGTAAGTGGCATTCTGTGGGAACTGATACCTGAATCAAGATGTCAGAGCACACAGAAGACATTATCATGAAGCCACGTAGTATGCAAACAAGCAGGACCTTTCTTTTCACCAGGTCATGCTTTTAAATTATATTTCATGATAAACCATGATTCCTTCTTCCAGAGCATTACCAAGGAATCAGGTCATAGCATCTACTTCCTTTAAAAGTTATCCACATCCTTATTCTTCAAGTTTACTAAAACTCTCTAATAAAAAGATTAGTGTCCAGGGAAGCTTAGTGGGAGAAAAGCAGAACAACAACAGCCACCTAGCCTATCCTCTAACATCATATTTAGCCAAATACCCTTAACTGGCCCATTGCCCAAGAGCTACCCCAAGTCAAGGACTCTCAATTTGCGTCTTGGTCTCTACCTGCAATTCCAAACAGTGCTTTTGTTTCTCAGAAATCTGATTCTTCAACGCCTGCTTCTCTTTCAGCAAGTTCTCCAGTGACAATGTTGACCAATCCAGCTTCAGTTCTTCACACCGTGCCTTAAGCTGCAAAGACACAGGATAAACAGATCAAAACACAACTTTCACCACTTCACACCACCCACAGTGCAAGCTGAAAGCCATGCACCTTTCAACTGGATATTTGCAAGAAGCTTCTTAGCTCACTGAAAACTCTTCTCGGTTTAAGCCAAATGCCACCAAAATGGTCCTGTGGTCACGACAAAGTGGCAGGAGGAGGCTTGGTTCTTTCTAAAAAGTGTTCTCGCCCAGC